AGGGACCTCTTGCCCTTTGAGACAGCATGTAAGGACCTGGAGAGTATTCTGCTGAGTGAAATAAGCCAGTCAGAGAAAGACAAGTAAAAGGTGATCTCACTCACATGTGGAATCTAAGGAACAAAATAAACTGATAAACAAAATAGATCCAGAGACACAGAAGCATGGAACAGACTGACAAATCTCAAAGGGAAGGGGGAGGGGGGAGATGAAAGTAACCAAAGAACTTCTATTTGTAGATGCATAACCCATGGACATAGACAATAGTGTGGTGAAGGCCTGCAGCAGGATGGGTGCAGGGTAGACGAGGGTCAATGGGGGAAATGAGGACTTTCAACAACAAAGATAAATTTAAAACAAAAGCGAAGAAACAAAACAAGGGGGGATATGAAGGGCCCTGACCCTCACGCACTGCATGACTGTGTTTAAACCACATCACCTCCTTGACCTTCTCTGAGTAGCCAGGGCTGTCGCAGAGGCGGGTGAGCGCTGGGCTGACTTACTGGATCCTCCGTCGGCAGCAGAAGAAGTTCAGCTTGCAACTTCCGACCACCTTCTCATCCTCAGTGCACATCTTCCTGCACTTGCCCCGCCCCAGCCTGCATGGCTCACAAGCAGCAAACTCACCTACACGGAGAAAGAGCTGCTCACGTCCCTTTCCCGGACCCTGGAGGTGGGGAAAAGGTCCACGGCCACAAAAGGGGAGGGTCTGTATTTGTGATTATAAAGGGTGTTTTCAAGAACCAGTGGGGATTTTTCAAAGAGCTCTGCTTTTTTCAAAATGGAGTTGGAGAGAGTTCATTTTTAAGCCACAGGGAGGTGCTATCCTGGTCCTCCCTGTGTTTCTAACCTGCCTGGTCAAAGGGAGCATCATCAACACGCGCGCGTACAGGACTGTCCCTGGCACACCTGGCACTGCATACAGGCTGTGACGATGATGGGAGGGACACCATGGAGTGTTAAAACGTTCTTGGTGGAGGAGTTAAAGACTTAGGTGCAGTTCTAATTTGCGTCTTGTAATGGCCACGTGTCCTCAGGAAACTGCTGAACCTCAGCCTTCTCAGTTGTCACATGGACGTGCTACAAATACCAGCCGACGTCTACATTGTTTTAGTGGTGAATGGACAAGTTATGTGAGAATATTTTGCGAGCACTACTCACTCATTAGCTCTTTTTTGTTGGTACTTTAGCAGAAGGGTTTTGGGGTTTTTT